CATTGGAAGTGTTATAGAAAGTCATCATGCTGTTGACTAGAGGTTATAATAATTCGTAATAAATGGGTGCCTTCTGTCTGGGAGTTTGTGCTGACAACACTTTTATTCAGAATTAACCTTATTTGTTCATATATTTTTTTCTAACTTAGATGTAATTTTGAGCTTCATTATAATAAACTACAAGTAGATAGGTAGTTAAACAGTGCACTTGACAAGTGATAACTGAGGCTGAATATACGACGTGAATTATTCTTTCGTGCTAGTAAACTGTGATTAAAATATTATCATAGTGACTAGAGCGACTTGTAATGACTCGGTCTAAATAATTTTCGTAATACCTAACTAAGCTATACATCCTAACTCTAGCACAAATTTTAGTGATAGTTACAGGAGGAATTGTTAAATTCATTTTTGGCTAACTTGATAATACGAGCAAAATCTAGCAAACAAGAAATAAGGAGAGCAGTGTTCAGTAAGCTAGTCAGTCAAGAAATACTTCCACAGTTCATATTAGAGGTAGATTTGTCTCGAACATTAAGTATAAATTCTTTAAGTAGAGCATTAAACATACTGTATAAACACAGATGATGACCAGAGGTCTACTTCTTCAGTACTAACATTAGCAGAACAGATGGAACTTGAGGAATTTCGGCATGTTCAACAACGCCAAAATTTGAGTTACGAGAGTTAAGAGGATCAGCGCTAAGGAGAAACAAAACAAAAAGAGTCGATATTAAAAGTGTTACGATGTTGAATTGATTTCACTTAAATTAATATCAAAAGTAAATTTTCTGTTGTTCCAAAATTTATGTACAGAATAAATTTAGTTCTCCCTCTGAAATGTATGAGAACAAGTCAGGAAAGAAAATGGAAAACTGTTGGGATCAACAAATATGTAAAAGCTTAGAGAAATCTTTGAATATCCGTTTTATCCTTGACTGTTCCTTTATATGAAAATTTTTATGAAGAAGGTTAATGATTCATGATCACTTTGAAATGAATGGTGAGTCCTAAAATGTTGTGACGCAAAGAATTCTTATTGAAGAAAGTAAAATAATATTTTATGATTTTTTTAACGTTATTGTAGTAAATATGTGATTTTCTCAGTAGATATGTAATTTTATCCTTTTAAATGTTAATTGCAAGATAGACTGATGATTGTAGACCATGCTGATATGCTTGACTACTTATAAATAGTTCAGATTACTTCATAAATTGTAAGATACTGAGAGGAAATATTTGACCTGAAATTGTGTGTAAAATACCCTACCACATCGTAAAATATTTTATAGATTGACCAGTTTTTCTTGCGTGTAAGTCATTGAAATTTTAACAGTTTTAAACATGGTAATAAATTGTAGAAAATTATAAGTTAAATATCCCAAGAGATGATAAGATAACCATTATTTGTGTTAGTTATTTATCAGAGATAAATAAAGAGTTAATAATATTTAATATGAATTATAGAAGTGAAGCATAGTGAATTTTATTTGATAATATTTGATACACAAAATAATTCTTTAGTAATGTTATGTTATTGTGCGATGATTCTCTTCAAGAAGATACTGATTATACAGTAAGTAATTAGTTATGATTTACTTAACAGTGAAAATATGAAAGATGTTAACTATTTTTTTAAATGAATAGTGAAATATTATAACTTAAACCCCCTGAAAATTATAATAATTTTCAGTACCTAATCTAGATAAATAATAATTCACTTAAAATCACTTAAGTCACTTTACACAAGAATAATTTAAGTAATTAATAAATTAACAGAAATAAATATTTTTAATAAATCATATTAAATAAATTAATAATGTATTAATTGTGAAGCAGTTTAAATACGGAGCTGTGTAAGCTTGGAGTTGTTTATGTGCTTCAGTTTGATCTGGTAGCTGTTTGGGCTTGTAGCCGTTTGAGCTTATAGCGGTTTGAGGTTGAAGCCGTGTTCAGTATTTGTCCAAATGAGGTTGTCAAGAAACAACTTTGACCATGACTAATGCATAAGGCTAAATCTTTCATTGCTGTGATTTTGAATAGCGTGATATAATTTGAGCTGAAAAGTGGTTAATTTAAAGAAAACAGGTTTAATAATAAAATAAATAATAGTAATAATTAACGGTTTATTGAAAAAGTTTTGCAGCCCAAAGGCTGAAAATATACATTGGACATAAATGACTTTTTACATACATTGGTGGTTAAACAAAATCCTTCATTAGAGAAAGGTTAAGGAACATACAGTGCACATGCAGATTAATGTTTACAGTGGAGGTCACGTAGATCATATACGCTGAGGTGTTCAACAGCAGACACGTAGTGTAGTAACTCCCTCACAGATGGAGATATGAGGGGGCTGACGTAGTGCGGTAATTCCCTCACAGATGGGGTTATAAGGGGTTTGACGTGGTGTAGTAATCCCTCACAGGTGGTGTTATGAGGGCATCACGTGGTGTAGTGATTCCCTCACAGACGGTGTTATGATCGACCTGACGTGGTGTAGTGATTCCCCCACAGACGGTGTTGAGGGACCTGACGTGGTGTAGTGATTCCCTCATAGATGGTGTTATGAGGGGCATCACGTAGTGTAGTAATGTCCTCACAGATGGTGTTATGAGGGGCCTGACAATTTGTAGTAATTCCTTCGCAGATGGTGATATGAGGGGCCTCATGCGGTGTACTAATTCCTTCACAGATGGTGTTATGAGGAGCCTAACGTGGTGTAGTAATTCCCTCACAGGTGGTGTTATAAGGAGCATCACGTGGTCTAGTAATTCCCTCACAGATGGTGTTATGGGGGGCCTGATGTGGTGGGGTAATTCTCTCTCGGATGGTGTTATGAGGGACCTCACATGGTGTAGTAATTCCCTCACTGATGGTGTTATGAGGGGCTTGACGTGGTCTAGTAATTCCCTCACAGATGGTGTTATGAGGAACCTCACATGATGATGTAGCATCTCATTCACTACCTGGTGTCGTAGCATTTGACCCAATTTTAATGAATGGTATATTTTGTTCTTGTGCTTTACGTAGTATACGAGTGAATATATTATGGTCATGATCAATTGTTGTGTCACCTGTGACCTCACCCGTTCCTACTGGGGACTGACCTGACTGTTCCCCGGCGACCTCACCTAGGTACCTTCTTAACCCCTGATAATCCGCCAATCGAAAGTTGGGACTCTGACCATATTGTCATTGTTTTTCGTTTCCCAATTTAGGGTGAACCTGATTTCTCTGCGATCACTGTTCCCTAGTTCTTCCCCTATTGTGATATCTCTGATAATATTATCTTTATTTGTTAATACTAGGTCTAATATATTGTCACCTCTAGTAGGTTCTGTAATTAGTTGCTTCAAAAAATTGTCCTGTACCGCGTCTAGGAAGTCTTCAGATTCATAGCCACCTACTACCGTGCACGAAAGTCGTGTCCACTACCCATCCACAGAAAGGGTTCGAAATGCCTTGAGTCTGAAGTTTCGAAACAGCTGGGGGAAATGCTATGGTCGGCCAACAGATGTCGCCCACTGTACTGTGTGTGGGGGGGCGGGGGGGTATAGAGGAGGTGGGGTTAGTTTAGTAACAGGCTGTGTGTAGGTGGAGCATAACATCGTGAATTCCGCAATCACTGATAACAATAAGAATGTCATGAAGATAGTTAATATTATTAAGCATGGTGAGAGATATGTAAAGGGTAAATAAAAGCATTACAACGACCATATCTCTGCCGTTCATGGCTACGACGGTGCGACTGATGGGCACCCCAGTAATTAATTCTCCGTGACTACCAGTAATGGTAGTCACGGAGACTACACAAGTTGCTACCAAGGTTGGTGCCACCCACACCAGGGGAAGGAGGTAATGTTGAACACTGAAACATGCCGAGGTCTCATTCCTACCATCGTCGTCACCAACAGGTAAGTCACATTAATTTGTCATCATAGCCCATGTCGTCCTTATACTATTGCAGGGTGTCCCGTGAGAGACAGCAGATATTTGTAGAGGTGAAAGAATATGTGATATTGAGTTGAAAATCTTCTATACAGATAAGCATTTTTCGGTTTACTTTAGGCGTGAGGTGGGTTGTAAAAATTACGAGGGCAAAAATTTTGCCATGTTATATTTTATTTTTCTTACCAATTGCAGCCATACTGTGTGCTGTTGTAATCCTTATTGGTTGTAAAGGCCTGGGACTTAGGGATAGAAATCCCTAACAGACTAATCAGGTTCTTAATTAAGGAAAGTCAAGGACCATGGTTTTCTGAGGAATAACAAACAACCGTTTGAGATTGACATCTCTTTACTATAAAAAATATAACAAAACTCTGACACCACTCAACAAACATCAAATAACAATTACGGGAGTCAAACAATTAAGTCAAGTCAACAGTTAATGGAGTCAAACAATTAATGGAAGCAAACAATAAAAGGGAGCAAACAATTAATGGGAGTCAACAACTGATAGAATCAAACAATGAACAGATACTTCCTACAGCAGTGGCCCTGGGGGAAGGTTCTCGAACACGGTGATCCACACTCGGGGTAGGGAAGCGTCCATTCAACTCCACACTCGAGCAACGTCTTAAAATGGCAGGAGAACACCGGGGCACAGACGGAATGAGATGAACTGACGGTCGTGGTATGCGGTAGTGATAGATGACCAGAGAATTAACAGTTGATAGGTGAAGGTCTGGGAACACAGCCCACGAGTCCAGGACCTATGATGAGATCACAGCCAGAATTTGACGGACAGCAGGGTAGCTAGAGAGTGACTGTATGGCGGCTGGGTTGATTCTCCCAGTGACCCAGATAGTCGCTGCCGTTCTCACCTCTGTCCAACCGCCCCAAGTGTTGTCCGCACCAGCAAACGAGCGAGTTAGCAACGGTAACCAGCAGGAAGATCGTTTCCGCCCTTACACAGCTCCCCCAACAAAAATCTACTGTAAGGTAGATTAAAACCTAAGATTTGTACACAGAGCATAATCATCTCACAACAAATGCTATACAGTGGATCTGCTCAAAAGGTCTGCCCCAAGGTTGTCTTTTCCGGCGACGTGGACCACACGAAACCTATAACCCTGCAGACTTAGAGCCCACCGTAACAATCTGTCATTTGCCCCCTTGAATGTATTTAAATACAACAAGGGTTTGTGGTCTACCTCTAGGATAAATTCTTTTCCTCTCAGGTAATAATCAAATTTCAAAACCCCAAACACAATGGCTAGACACTCACGTTCAATGGTGGAGTACCTCCTCTCCCTGTCTAGTAACTTCCTACTGGCATAGGCCACTGGGTGAGGACGTGCCTGAACATATTGGAGGAGGACGGCTCCTAGGCCATGACTGGAGGCGTTCGTCCTAAGAACGAAGGTCAAGTGTTGATCAGGCAGTTTGAGGATAGGCTGCGTGGATAGCGAATTCTTGAGACGATTAAATCCGGCCAGCAGGTCGTCGTTCCAGACAAGAGGCTCCCGGTGGCCTTTCCTTAGCAGGTCAGATAAGGGTCCGGTATACTCAGATGCCTGGTGAATGAAAGATTTATAAAAAGAGATCATACCGAGAAAACTACGGAGGAGTTTCTTAGTAGTAGGAGGACACACCTCACAAAGGGCTTGTATTTTCTCAGGTTGGGGACGAAGGTGCCGACCATCTAGCACGAATCCAAGATAATGAATAGACTCAAATCCAAACCGGCATTTAGATGGCTTTATCGTCAAAGCATGTTCCCTTAACCTCTCCAGGACAGCTTTAACGTCGCCAAGATGTTCTTGCCAATCTGAGGAATATATGAAAATGTTGTCAAAATAAAAAGAAACTCTAGGCAAACCGGCAAGGACGAGGCGCATCAGCCTGATGTACGTGGCATAGGCAGTCACCAGCCCAAATGGAAGTCGGCAGAATTCCATCAATCCTCTACGAGTAGGAAATGCAGTTAGTGGTTTTGCGCGTTCAGTTAAGGGTACCTGGTAGTAAGCTTTACATAGATCCAACTCCGAGAAGTACTTCGCCCCTGAGAACTTATGCAAGTCTTCCTCCATAGAACAGGCGGGCTCGGCATGAAAGACAGTTACCGCATTTAACACCCTGTAGTCAATGGCCATCCTAAAAGTACCATCCTGCTTACGCACCATAACCACGGGAGAGCAGTGAGGGGACGACGACAATTGGATGATTCCCTGCTCAAGTAGACGGTCGACCTCTTCAAAATAACTCTGGAGATGAATAGGGACAGGATAAACTTTGGCCTGCACACGCTGAGTGGTTGTAAGGAGGATGTCATGGTGTACAGTGGACGTGCATCCCGGGACGTTTGAGAATACATCCTCAAAGTTAGTAATCAGGTCCTCAATGTCAGCACGTTGGTTCCTCTCCAATCCAGGTTTAAGTGCGGGCCCATTGTCAGTCGAAGGGGATTCTACTATACCATCTGGTGTTATCGGTAGCTGGCAACTGAGATCATCTGAGTCTGGTGCCGGAATTACTCCCGACCCCTCGCAGGGTAGTGCCTCGACTGACTCTAGCTTAGAATCGCTATCTAGGACATGAGCAAAGTTAAGGTGGGCCCTGCGATGATATTTCTTAAATAAATTAGCATGATATAACTTAGGCCCCTTAGGTTCGTCAATGACGTAATTTACCCTACTCCGCTTCTCTAGGACTTTGTAAGGCCCATTCCAGGAAACAAGCAACTTGCTCTTCTTATCAGGCAGGAGCACTAACACTTCATCCCCCGGAATAAATTTAAGATCTTGTGATTTGACGTCGAAATAGGCCTTATATTTGGTGTTACTAATGTCAGCATTCTGCGCGGCGATCTTGGCACACTGTGAAAGTTTGTCCCGTAATTCAATGACATACTGGTAGTGAGTCCGCTCGTCGTCTTCTATACTTGTGTCCGCCCACAGATCCCTTAACACCGAGAGCGGGCCTCTCACGGCTCGGCCGTATAATAATTCGAACGCCGAGAACCCGGTCCGGTCACTAGGAATTTCTCTCAGAGCAAATAAAGTGGGGACAAGATACCGGTGCCACTCCCTGGGTTTGTCGGCGCACAATTTCCGCAGCGACGCTTTCAGGGGCCCATGCATTCTCTCAATTCGTCCATTACCACTAGGGTGAAAAGGGGTGGTAAATAAAGGCTTAACTCCTAGCAACTTGTGAAGCTCCGCCATCAACTGAGAGGTAAACTGAGTCCCCCTATCCGACAATTTCCCGTGGTATGCCTACGCGAGAGAAGATCACAAGCAATGCTTCGGCCACAGAAATAGAATCAATTTCCTTCAAGGGCAAGGCTTCTGGAAACCCGGTGGCAAAATCAATTAAAGCGAGTACATACCTGTGCCCCGCAGAGGAAGGGGGTGAGAGCGGTCCAACCAAATCTATGGCTACCCGAGAAAATGGTTCAGTAATGATGGGTAAGGGTTTAAGAGGAAAAAGACGGACTCTACCTTTGGTGGACATACGCTGACACCGATCACAACTCCTACAAAAGGCTCTAATATCCGCTCCTATTCCTGGCCAGTAAAATTGATCAGAAATCTTCATATATGTCTTTCTATGAGAGAAGTGCCCTGCTAGGGGGCTCTCGTGAGCTACAGAGAGAATGATGTTACGATAATCAGCCGGAACAACAAGGAAAAACTGACCTACTTTGGCTGGTTGCTTGGATGACACACACGATCGAAGTAACAGACCGTTAACACGAGCGAACTTGAATACAGACCCATCTCCAGCCTGATCCTCCTCCCCGGAAGTTACCTTCTCCCTTACCCGCTTCAGAGTGGTACACGAGTCTTGAAGCTTGGCAAACTCCTTGGGAGTCACAGTAAGCGGCTGCAATTTCGGCAGAACCAGGGGATGCAGGCGCTTCGCCGACCGTGTCTCCACAGCTAGGATCTTTGCTGGAGAGGAGGTGGCATGCGAGGGTGGCGAGGCGACGTCAGCAGGTGGGGAGTCGACGTCGGCAGGCGGCGAAGAGACTGGCGCTGAGGAGACTGGTGATGGTGGTGAGGAGAGTTTTAAAGGTTCCGGGTCGTTAGGGTCACGAACACCGGGAACATTACCAATGAGAACACTAGCAAATTTAATGGGAGCTCTTGCCACATTAGACCAACCAGTAAAATAGGGGCAACGCAGGTAGCACCTAACAACAGGGAACTGGTCAACACGACCCAAATAATCGGTGACACTAACCTTCGAGCAGCTGGAGAGATCAGCATCAGGCAGGGCATCCTCAGAGACAACAAAACATGAGCAACCGGTGTCCCTGATGATCGTAGATGCCCATGACCCATTTATAGTTCCGCTGACACAATAGCTGGGACAGCTCCGGTCTTCGAAACAGAACCCGACCTCGAAGCTGGGCGGATGAATGTCCGTAGACTTGAAGGCGTGTGGATTCCTGGGACAGCGAGAACGAATGTGTCCTATTTCTCCGCAGTTGTGGCACCGCACGGCTGGTGAACTTTTCCTCTCTACTCCTGGGGAAGGTTCCTTGGAGGTCGGAGGCTTCCAGTTCTTGACCACAGGAGGGGAAGACTTGGGGTAGGTGTTGCGAGCGGACGCCCAGTTGTCGGCAAGATGTACAGCTTCTCCAAGCGTCGCTGGCTGGTGGTGTTTGATGAAAACTCTCAAGTCTGGAGATAAAGAAGACAAAAACTGATCTAATATCATGAAGTTAGAGAGAGACTCAAAGGTTTCTTCAACCTCTGATGCCTCCAGTCATTGTTGAAACAAACGTCCCAGGTGAATCGAAAACTGCTGGTACGTTTCTCCTGCTCTAATCTTCGTTCTGCGGAAATCAACACGATAATCGTCAAAAGTCTTGTTAAATCCTCGCAAGAGAGCTTGCTTCAACAAGAAGTAATCTCGGGTGATGTCGGCAGACAGGGACGTGTAAATTTCTACCGGCTTACCACTCAATAGGCTACCCAACCTTACAGCGTAGCTATCTGGGTCTACACGAAGTAGCTCAGCTACCCGTTCAAACCTAACAGGGTAGGAGGCGATGTCTTCTCCTTCACGGTACACAGGCAAGCTGGGTTTTACCACATTGTCTTGTATATGGCCAGAGGATTCTGGTCTACTTGAAGCATTAATCCTAACCAGTTCTAGGTCCTTTTCTGCCTGCAACTAATCTAATTCGAACTCTCTTTCTCTCTGACGTTCCTCCATCTCTCTCCCTTTCTGAAGTGCCTCCATCTCTCTCCCTTTTTGAAGTGCTCTCTCTTTTTCTGAAGTTCCTCTCTCGCTTTCTGACGTTCCTCTCTCTCTCGGCATTCTGTTGGTTGGCCACGTACTGACCAACCTCAGTACCTGTCAGACCCAGGGCCACCGCTTGACCTTTCAACTCCTCAAATTTATACATAATGATCCGAAATGCCAAGAGCAAAAAGAAAAATACAAAACTTACCCCGCAAATAGCCAAAGGTAACTTACCTAATGGCTCAATCAGACCAATAAAATATTTGATCCGACTGGAGGGAACGTTGTTCCCACCCAGCCCAGCTGAATCTCTCTCAGGGTAAAAAACCGCACCAGGTGAAACAACAACAAAAATGCTATGACAGCATCCACAGTGCACCTCAACCAACACTAATTAACTTCCCCAAGTACAAAGGAGAGCAACAAAATTAGCACACAGAAGGAAGGGATAACCACTGAACAACACGTACTTCTGGGCCACAGAGAGCAAGGTGGCGCGCACACGGCGACTTACAACAAACACTGGAACGAATGTTAGCCCTCAGAAACCAAAGGTCAGAGACAATCCTGGCAAGGTCTCCACTTGTAAAGGCCTGGGACTTAGGGATATTAATCCCTTACCAGACTAATCAAGATCTTAATCAAGGAAAGTCAAGGACCATGGTTTTCTGAGAAATAACAAACAACGGTTTGAGATTGACATCTCTTTACTATAAAAAATATAACACAAAACTCTGACACCACTCAACGAACATCAAGTAACAATTACGGGAGTCAAACAATTAAGGCAGTCAACAGTTAATGGAGTTAAACAATTAATGGAAGCAAACAATTAAAGGGAGCAAACAATTAATGGGAGTCGGCAATTAATAGAATCAAACAATTAATGGGAGTCAACAACTGATAGAATTAAACAATAAACATATATTTCCTACGGCAGTGGCCCTGGGGGATGATGGTCCATACAGGCTTCCTCACTCGAACGACAGAGGCAGATGTCTTGATACAGGAGACGAAACACCGGGGCACAGACCGTGGAGAGGAACAGCGGTAGTGGTTGATGTCCAGAGAACTGACAGTCGACAGGCGAAGGTCTGGGAAAACAACCCACGAGTCTAGGACCTATGATGAGATCACAGCCAGAATTTGACGAACAGCCGGGTAGCTAGATAGTGACTGTATGGCGGCTGGGGTGAATCTGCCTGTGACACAGGTAGCCGCTGCCGTTCTTACCTCTGTCCACCCCCCCCCCAAGTCTTGGTCGCACCAGCAAACGAGAGAGTTAGCAGCGGTAACGAGCAGGAAGATCGTTTCCGCTCTTACAATTACACTATAAGTGTGTCAAATGAGGAATGACTGATCCACATGTAATTTAAGATTTTTGAAATAGGTAGTTAAATTAAACAAAATTTTTCATATAGTTACGCGAATGATGGGGTTTGGTGGAAGCATCGTGGTCTGGCACACACACACAAGTGCTGTAAACGTTGTGTGGACACACTGGGTGGTTTGGAAGTGTTTATTTCCATTCATACTTTCGTAACTACAACCTATGGTAATTTTTCTTCTTGTTCATATATAATGAAGATAATGCAGAGTATAAAATGCCATATACAATATTTATACATAATGTCATCTATACAGCCTTACTATGACTGTGTGTGTTCGTGCGTGTGTTGCCTCGTGATAGTTAGAGTGGGCCCCCAGTCCAGAAAGGACACTGTACTAACCTCCTGCACCGTCCCAGGTGGGCTAGAGAATATGGTTTCCGAGTGTACCTTCGGCAATAAGGCCCGTTCCTCGCAGAGAAGGTCTCCCTAAACCTACACCACCGGCTAATTTGGAAGAGCTTTCAACTTCGAATGAAGAAATTGAGGAAGAAATTCCAGAATCACCCCATGATCCTCCTTTCATTGACCAGACTTCCAATGAATCACATCTTATAGAACAACGTGAACTTAATAATCTTGTACGTGATCTCCCTCTGTCAAAACAGCAGCCCGAACTCTTAGCATCAAGACAGAAGGAATGGAACTTTCTATAGAAACAGACAAGAATTTCTGTTTTTAGGAAAATAAATATTACTTATCTTCCTTCTACAGTATGCAGGATTCCCTCTGTGTGTATACTGATGTAGATGGACTGCTGTCAGAGTTGGGAGAAAAACATGACCCAAAGGAATGGCGGCTTTTCATAGATTCCTCCAAGTTTAGTTTGAAAGCAGCATTGTTGCATAATTTGAACCAGAAGCCCTCAGTTCCAGTAGCACATTCTGTAGGTTTGAAGGAAACGTATGATAGTATGGAGAAAATAATGACCGCTATTAAATACAAGGAGTATAGATGGCAGATCTGCAGCGATTTGAAGGTTATAGCCCTTCTACTCGGCCTTCAAGGAGGGTTCACGAAATATTGCTGTTTTCTGTGTTATGGGACAGCAGAGCAACAGAAAAACACTACAAAACAAAGGAATGGCCAAAGAGAGAAGAGTTTGTTCCAGGAAAAAGCAACGTTGTATATACTCCCTTGGTAAACCCAAACAATGTACTTCTACCTCCTTTACACATGAAGCTGGGACTAATGAAGAATTTTGTGAAGGCTATGGACAAACAAGGTGATAGGTTCATGTACTTGAGGGGAAAATAACCCACAGCTCAGTGACGCTGAAGTCAAAGAAGGTATCTTTGTTGGCCCACAGATTAGAAAGTTACTTCACGATGACGACTTTAAAAACAAACTGACTGAAAATGAGGTAGCTGCATGGAAATCCTTCACATCTGTAGTCAAGGGGTTTCTTGGAAACAAGAAACTATTGCCAACTTGTAGAGGAACTCGTAAGAACTACAAAAACTTGGGATGCAGGATGTCTTTGAAAGTCCACCTCCTACACTTGCACTTGGACTTTTTTCCTGAGAATCTGGAGACGGTTTGTGATGAACAGGGAGAGCGATTTCATCAGGACATTAGACGTATGGAGGAAAGGTACCAGGGTAGATGGGATCCTGCCATGATGGGGACTATTGCTGGTTTTTACAATCGCAGGACAATACAACACATAAAAGTATGAAATAAAATAACAAATGCCCATACAGTGGCTAATTTAATACTTTTTGTGTCTTCTTATGATTGTTTTCATTCTTTATTGAATTTTAGTGTGATGACGTGGACAAAAAAAACAGGAATAAAAGGAAAAATATTATTTTTCAGTTTTTGTATTTGTAAGATTTATTTTCTTGTATAACAAATAAACTGTACGTGCCAGAGAATTTTTATTGCCAGATTTGAAATCAGCACCTCAAAATTAACAAAAGGAAGCTACTCTGAACCATGTTACGGATTTATATATTTTTTTATTTATTGCCTAGTATAATAGGCCCGGACTTCCCCACGTTCTACAGTAGGAACTCAGCCACTACTCCAGACATAGCAATAACAAACGTCAGATGCTTCCACAACTACCTCTTTGAACAAGGTCCTGTAACCTCCAGCGACCTATGATCATGACCATCCCCACAACACCAATAACTATACCAGCTCCACCACAGAGGATCGCCAAGCACACCAACTGGGAACTATTCAACGAAAAAGCTACAGCCAAACTTGAGGCCCAAGACATGACAATCCTGCAGACCATAGACAACCAGCCGTTGAACAAAACAAAAGAAGAAATCAACACATGGTGTGAAGCCATTGGAACAACCTACCAGGAGGCCACGCCTCTCAAACGCAACAGAACTCTCCCACACCCACGACAGACTCCAGAACTCATCGCCCTCACAAACCAATTCCAACTGCTACAACAGAAAGCCGAGACCCATGGTTGGAAAATCGTAAGCTACATTGTATACAGAAGAATTCGGGAGGAAATAAAAACAAGATCTCTGGAACTAAGCAACCTCATTTGGGCCGAAATAGTTTAACAACTCTCACATACATACAATGACCCCGGAGGGTTCTGGTGTCGAGTTAAGAGACTGAAGGGCTCCAGCCGCAATGAGTCACCATGTACAGTATAACTGACCACACTGGAAGTAAAATATATGACGATCAAGACAAAGAACCCATATTCAGGGACATATGGAGGAACATCTTCCGAATCACAAATGAGGAGTACAGGGGATTTGATGGTACCCAAGAAGAGCTCGTCCTTGATGAACTCCGGGGTCAGACGCACCGCACTCAGCCTTCTCCTGAAATCATATGGGAGGATCTGAGAGTGGACAGCCCACTGTCCAAACCAATCACCTCGGAAGAACTCAACACAGCCATCTCCAATACCAAAAATAAAGCCCCTAGCTATTCAGGCATCACCAAGGAGATCCTCAGCCACATAAACAACTCGGCCATGGAGAGACTGAGAACCACAATGAACGCTTGCCTGGCCTCGGGTTACTTCCCAAGCCACTATTACCCTAACACCAAAACAAGGAAAGAACCCCGCCGTCCTACTAAACTACAGACCGATCTCCCTCCTCGAAGTACCTGGAAAAACCCTAGAAAAAATCATCAATAACCGTCTGAGATATCACCTGGAAAAAACCAACAGAGTCAACTGCAGACAATTCAGGTTCAAGAATGGGAAGTCCACCACAACAGCGATAGTCCTGGTATGTGAAAACATAGCCAGAGCCGCGGCGAGTGGTATACAATGTAATCTAACTCTCCGGGATGTAGCGAAGGCATTTTACAAAGACTTGCATGACGGTCTAAAATATAAGTTCCTCCAACTTGGACTTCCCGCCAACATTGAAAAGCCACTGTGCAATTTTCTTGACCGCAGAAATGCGAGACTGAGGGTAGGACAACACAAAGGAGAGACCTTTCCACTCATGAGCGGAGTCCCTCAGGGCAGCGTCCTCTCTCCCACCCTATATATTATCTACACAAGTGACACCCCGCCTCTCACTAGAATAGGTAACAAAGATATTATGTATGCAGATGAAATCACTCAAATAACAACATATCAAGGAAAATCGCAAGCGTTACAGGTCGACAACACCAAGCGGAAATTAGAAATGATAAATAATTACGAAAAGCAATGGAAAAACAAACCAGTCTCCCGAAATTCACAGTGATACCCTCATGCAGAAGGAAAACCCATCTATTAGTAACCAATAATGCCCAAATAGAATACAAAAGCAGAGGCACCCTCCTGGGCCTGCATATATCTACGACAGGTTACTCCCATCATGTCCACACCGGGAAGGAAAAGGCAAGAAGAGAGCTGAGATTACTATACCGCTTTAAAGGGCTTCCTGAGAAAATAAAACTCCGCCTGGTGACACCATTTATCATCCCGGTATTAACTTACCCAGCAATACCTCTTCATACTATGAGCACCACTAAAATATTAAAATTACAGGTGGTCCAAAATGAAGCCCTAAAATTCGTCACAGGTGAAAGATACCCCTTCACCAGAACCACAGCCGAGATATATAGAGACCTGAGAATAAAACCCATCAACCAGCAGCTGCACACCCTGGCCAGCAGAGTCTAGCAAAAGATAGAACGATCAGAGCAAGAACTCCTTCAAAGACTCCCACCAGATAACTACAACAACCATACATGGTTCCCCAAAAGTTACCAAATCTCTAAAGGTCCATTACCACCTCCGATCTATACGGCCAGGCGATAGACAACCTCCCTAGACCAGCATCCGCCAGTAGGGTCGGCGGAATATGAAATAAGGCCCTCAAGGCACCCATATGTGATAGGGTAGGATGTCTAGTGCCTGTATCGACATACAATAACTAACCCATGACACAACCCTAACACACCATTAGCTTAGCTAGGCGGTCAGCCCGCCTTGTCGTACCTCCACCTAAATTTTTCCAATTTCCGAAGTAAAACTTCCTTCCCCCACCTCTAATCTTCATTCACCCCTCCTTTCTCTACAAAAAAAAGGCCCCCATCCTGGCTATCACCTATTGGGTTCCCCTCCTCCCCCCCTGCCTGCCAACACGGGTACTACACGTCTACCCTCACTATTATAACTCTCTTTGACCTTCCTTTTTCACACCTCAGTGGCCCTGACTTTTTGCTGTTCCTTAATCAGTACCAATATTCCGACACAGATGATGTACTGGACCGTATGTGTTACGCCCCATTCACCCATGGTGTCGTCACAATACTCCGTCATATTGACTCTGATGCCTTTCTACAAAACTCACTGGGTTACAACAACCCCAATTGAAACTATTACTTTCCTGACTCTCCCGAGCTTCGCACTATTTTTATACTATCTCATTCGTCTCCTTAATTAGCCATAACATCAGCAGTATTCCCCTTCACTTAGACCCATTTAGATCAGTGTAAATCTTCTACTGCCAACATATTTGATGTACTTGGGTTCTGTGACACCAGACTCACTAACGATGCTGAACATTTGTATAACATCCCTATTACAGTATACTAGACACTGTGTCAGTTCTGTACAAGTATATTGATATTAAGTATAACACTTCCGTAAGACATGATTTAAAGGTTTAGGAAGAGTTTATGGAGAGTGTTTTCACTGAATTAGGTAACGACACACAAATTATCTTAGTTGGAATAAACTTCAGAAGACCCCACACCAATGTAAGCAACTTTCTTGATAAATTATTAGACCTTATCTCTATCATAAATTCAGAGAGGAAACTTTGATACGTTACATGAGATTTCAACCTTGATCTACTAAAATAAGAGACGGACACCTCAATAATGGACCTTCTTGCTACCTGTCATTCTAAGTTCTTCTTCAACACAATAACCAAACATACTAGAGTAACTGCCACCTCTGCCACTGTGATAGATCATATTTGGACTAACAACACTCCTAACAATCTTGCAAGTGGAATTATTTATAACAATATCTCAGATCACTTCCCCAATTTTTGCTATGTATAAAACAGTCACAAGATCTGAAAGGTCTAGCAAAGTCACAATAAAATACAGAGACTACTGCACCGACAACATGTTCCTGTTCGAAAACAACTTAATGAATGCTAAGTGGGTCTTGTCTATGCCTACGACAACCCTAACGTGATCTGCTGCAACTTCTCTTGTATCTTCAATGCTTGCTTTGATAAATGCTTCCAGCTCAAAACTAAGTTCGTAAAAAACTGTATCTATCTCCAAACCCTATATTACAAATGAAATCAAGGCAATGATAAACGAAAAACACAAACTTCAAAGAAAATTTGTAAAAAGACACATAACTTTCGGTGATGCTTACCGAAGTATCAGAAATAGAGTTACTCAAGCAGTTAGAAATGCCAGACGTAGCTATTGTACACATACGCTCCAGTCAACATCGGGAAACAGTAAGAAAACCGGGAATATCAATTCTATTCAGGAGAGGAACACTCAACCCCCCCCCCCCAGCTTTTATGATAAATGATACAGTTGTAACGGAACCCTCCCTCAATGCCAAACACTTCAGTGATTTTATAATCAATGTTGGCAAAAATCGTGCAGAGAGCATCTATGATTACCATTAGAAATTTAGATCCTGCAAAACAATCAGCAAAATGAGCTGTTCTTATTCCCTCTCGCGGCAGATGAATAATTATTGACCATCATAAAAATGTCCAAAGATGTAGCAGCAGACGACGACAATATAGCAATGAGCTTTCTCAAGAAAGTAGCCAACTTATTACTATCTGTTGCTACATGTGTCTATGTATTTATATAATATTAAGATGTGTGCTGTATATTCATTTTGTATCAGTCACCGTTGGAAGAGCACTTTTCTATGAACCAAACATAATTTGTTTATTTTTTGCATTGGATGTGAATTGTTTTGATTCTATGTAATTCATAATCTTTTGTAACCACATAATATTATATGTTTACATGAAGAATTTTTGAGTTAATATTCATTTATGAAAGATGCACTGTTGTCGTCTTTCTAGAAGTTCTCTCCCTCCAGACAGACACAGGGTGCAAACTTGAAACCAGGGATGTGACTATATCTTATTTCAATCGTCGTGTATCTCAGCTTTTGGTATTAATTTGTTCACCAGTATTAAAGGTGAATGTTGGGTGATATTTTGTGGACGGAGGGAGAGCCATATTATGGAATTAGGGCAGATAAGCTATTAAATTAGTTGGGTCACAGAACCATGCAGCATTATTGTCTATACTCTTCTTTATTGTAAATATATTAAATGTTATTTGTAATTAAGCTACTTCGAACCCTGATTACACGATTTAAGGAATAGTTTCCTTGGATGCATGGTATGAAAATGTCATAGTCAACTGTCAGCTGGAAGTAGCAAAAGTTTGTCGACATGATTCTTGTCTGTTAACCAAAGCTGTTATTTCGGAACGTGAGTCTGATTAATGGGCCTAGGGATTGAAGTACTGTTGGAAGATGAGGATTATACAGTAGTGGCCATGACACTGTTCTCTTACACATTTGTAACTCCTCCTTCACTAGTGGTGTCTTTCCGGATAAACTGAAAATTGCTAAAGTTCGCCCAGCATATAAAAACTCTGGGGACAAAGGTCTCTTCAAGAATTACCGCCCCATATCAGTCCTCCCAGCCTTAAGTAAGATACTGGAGAAGCTAGCATGTAGTAGACTTAATTTCTTCTGCTGTGTCAATAACATCCTCACAGACTCTCAGTTTGGATTTAGAGCTCGAAGGTCAACTGAGAGCGCTCTGCTATCCTTTACTAAGGACATCTTAAGCTCCTTTGATGGCAGTCAATTCAGTCGGAATATTCCTGGACCTCTCTAAAGCCTTTGATACTGCCGACCATAACATCCCCCTGTCAAAGCCTGAACATAACGGCGTTAGGGGCTTAATCCACTATTGGTTTACCTCATATATGTCTAACTGGTAGAAGTATGTCTGCTATTATAACCAGCAATCTGACTCCTCACCAATTTTGTATGGCGTCCCTTAAAGCTCCATTCTCAGTACCGTACTCTTCTTGTTGTATAAACGATATAATCCACGCCAGCACACTCGTCAAATGCAATTTATCTCCAGACGATAGTAATCCCCATGCCAGCAACTCAGATCTCCATTCCTTGATGAGAACTATGGACACTGAATTGAGTAAAGACAGGACTTGGGTAATACGCAATAAACTGACTTTAAACCCAGAAAAAACCCACTACACAATCTTTCACAGAAGGAAAAACTTACCCCCAGATTTGGACCCATTGTGCTTTGGTAATACAGTCCTCAAAAGTGACTACAATACTGAATTCCTTGGGGTTATTATTGATGAGAAACTAAGCTGGAGAAACCACATACAAGCCGTTCTCAGTAAAGTCAATAAACAGTGCGGTATCCTGTATCACACTCGTCAGTCACTCACTCTTGCAGCAATGAAAGAAATCTATTCTAATCTTGTTTACCAACACTTGATACACTGTCACACACTATGGGGGGCTGGCTCTACAAAAACACAACACCTGATTACTGCGCAAACGAGAGTTGTGCGGACAATGACCTACTTGAAAAAAAAAATGACCACACTAACGAACAATTTGCTATAATGACAATTTTATAATTCGAGGATATTAACACCTACTGCTGTGCCCTATTTCTTTTTTACAAATTAGTCTATCACTTGATTGACAATAATAGTTTCCATTTCCGGAATAATCAGACATACAACTTCAGACACCCAGAGCTACGAAGACCACCCCCCCATGCGTTCCTCTGAGTCCCAGACCTCCAAAAAATATCTCGATGTGAAGGTGTAGAACAACTTACCCCCACCCATCCGAGCAAAGACTACGCCCACTTCCTTTAACTCATAGCTTAAAAAATATCTATTGTCTAAGTATTAATATTTTTGTAATATCTACTTTTTTCCTACTTTTATTGTGCCAACAAAACTATTATATCAGAAATTGTCATGTAGGTAGATACAAATTACCACTGCAATAATTATATTTGCCACGAAGACATGATACTGATAGCGTCTTTCCTCTTGTTTCACCTTAATACAACCCATGTTGCATTGCTTTCTTCCCTTATCATATTAATGTATATCAACTTTACTGTAATATATATATATATATATATATATATATATATATATATATATATATATATATATATATATATATATATATATATATATATATATATATATATATATATATATATATATATATATATATGCTGATAACCACAAGAAAAGAAGAAAACACGAAGTTCCCAAGCGCTTTCGTGTAATTCACATCTTCTTTCCTTGTGGTTATCAGCATATACCTGGATCACGCGCACCCACAGTGATTTACTTGCCTTGGCAACATTCTGATATGTTCCTACTACCACCATGTTAGGTGTACTACTGCAGATGATATACAATATTACATAATACTTCATTGAGATTAATGTACAGTATATTACGTGCCGTTAAGAGTGCTCAGGCTCTCAACTGACTCAGTCATGTCAGTATTGTTATTATTATCGACTCTGTGTCTGTATTTTTCTGACTAAATAAACTGTTTCAATATCAATATCAAAATCCCCCTAACAGCACCAGCAGGGCGATGGCCTGCAATTATGTGTTCCCCTTACAACACCAGTAGGGAGAAGGCCTCCAATTATGTATTCCCCCTGCAACACCGGCAAAGAGACGGCCTACAACCATGTGTTACCCTGCAAAACCAGCAGGGAGACGGCCTACAACCATTTGTTACCCTACAACACCAGCGGAGAGACGGTCTGAAACCATGTGTTCCCCCTACAACACCAGCGAGGAGACGGCCTACAATCATATGTTGCCCTGCAAAACCATCAGGGAGATGGCCTACAACCTTGTGTTGCCCTACAACACCAGCGAGGAGGCGGCCTAAACCATGTTTTCCTCATACAACTTTGTGTTCCCCCTATAGCACCAGCAGGGAAGCAGCCTAAAACCATGTGTTCCTCTACAAGACCAGCAGGGTGAAAGCCTACAACCATGTGTCCCTCCTGCAACACGAGCAGTGAGACGGCCTAAAACCATGTTTCACCCTACAACACCAGTGGGGAGACGGTCTACAACCATGTGTCCCCGTTACAACACCAGGAGGGAGACAGCCTATAACCATGTGTTCCCCCTACAACACCAGTGGGGAGACGGCCTACAACCATGTGTCCCCCCCTACAACACCAGGAGGGTATAGCTCACAACCATGTGTTC